CCCGCGGCCTGTGGCTGCCCGGGGTTGCGGGCCCCGAGGTCCCTGCGGGCCAGCGGCGCCTTTCTCCTCCCGTCCCTGCCGCAGGCCTGCGCGGATGCGGTAGTCTGGGGTAGCACCTAGGAACAGCCGTGGATCTCCCTAATCCGTACGTCTGCGCTCAGGCACGCCATTTCGTTCCTCTTCGGATTATACCTCCACGATCGGCATTCTGTGTTACGCTCTTTTCAGCTGATTTTGCGTGGAATGACCCCCCGCATCCAGCTGACCCGTGAACCTGAATCAAACATTTGGTAGCTTAGGCAAAACACTGTGTTACGGTGTCATCATAAATTTAAATTGAACATTTGGTAATATAGCCGAAAAACGCTCTTAGGATGTCAAGTTACTTTAAATGGTGTTCTTCATATATGGCAATGCTAAGAATATAGAATTTGTTTTCTGTTGCTAGGGCCCGAGCCTAATTTCTGCATATAATGACAAACTTTGTAACACTTTATTAAGAACACATGAAAAGGCGGAAGAAGAAGAAAGACAAAATTACGAAATTCACAAAAAGGGGTGCTGGTGCACTGTACATTGCAAATGACCTGCGAAGTGAGCTGCGGTAATAGCAAAAAAACCTCTTGTTGTTTTTTTGTAACCAATGGAACCTGTGGCTGGTTAATAAAGACTTTGTCCAGAAAAGTCAAGACTTTATATGAGCACAAAGTTGCACAGTATTGCTTAAACTGATTTAACTGAACTGGTGCAAAACCTTGAAAAAGGTATTCTTTCTTTGATTTAAATCTAATTTATATCAACTTAATTTGTTTTAGTAAATGTACACTTTCAAACTGATTGAATCCGCATGGGGAGTTATAAATTTTTGATACATCAATTTCATTAAAAGTGTTAAATTCCTTTTACGCTGTGGGGGCCTCAGAAACGCTGTTGTTCTACAAAAACAATCCTCGCATTGGATATCAGAAATCCTTGAACTCCCAATAAAATGTTAAGTGATGCAAATGCCTTTGAAACTGCTCAAATACTACATCACCAGAAAGTTTTCTTGGACTGAATGTACTGTGAAGACAGGACATTGTTAGTTTTCACAGGTAAAACAAATGGTATAATTTGCAGTACTTTACTGCAAGTAAGTTGGATTAGTGTGAAAGAACTGACATAAAAATGGCTTTCAGATGTCAGACTGAACTTGCAAAACTGAAAGAGAAAATGTCTTGAACTACTGTAATCTGTATTCTCTTGTGGCTTTAATCCTCCAAAGTATTTAATGTCTGTTGAAATTAATTGTATGTTATACGGTCTCAGCTTTCTGGAAGAAATATCTGTATTTTTTATTTCATCTATTCAGATCATATTTAATTCTTGCAACGTGTTTTCAATCTCAGTTAAAGACCTTACACAATAACTGCATCCACTTCTATTCCTAAATGAAATATACATTTTACAATTCTTATTTATGAGTGGATTTAGTTGCAGTGAGAACATACAATGCACTAAGGACTACACTCAACTTTATCCAGGATAATAAAAACCTAACTCTGCTCCTTAAATAAAAACTCAGAATAAAATGGAAAGGCAGCATGAACAAAAATGTGGACTTTTGTCTTTCTCCCTGTAGGCAGGTTGGACAAGATGGTGCCAGAAGGGCTCCCTCCCTCTGCTCCTGCAGCAATCCGGGACTGTTATCCCCGCGGACTTCTGTGCCCAGAAAACTCCCTACCCGTGCGTGCCGTGCCCCGGAGCAGGCAGCATGTGCACTTTCTGGCAGCCTACAGAAAGTCTCACTCTGGCAGGCTGCAAAAACTTTTTTGCTTTATATCAGGCACTCTAAACTGAAAACGTGCAGCAAAATAATGTCTTAAAGCCTGCAGATACTGTATGGGGCCTACAGAGGGCTGGGCTAAACCCTAAACTACATGGACAAGGCCAGTAGTCTTTAAAGAGAGTTGTGTTTTAGCAGCCACACTACCGCTTGGCCTGGAAGCCAAGAATTGCTCCCCAAGGCAGATGGTGCTGTGGCCTTGTGTAGGTATTTTAGTTGAGATCAGGTCTGCACTTTCTAATTGAATCTCCATTTATCCCTGCTACTGTGCTTTGTTTTTCATTGCAAAGTGCTCTTGGGACTTCAAGATTTCCCTTCAGGCTAAAGTGATCTAGAGAATGAACTTTAAATCCTAATGATCGTTAAGTCTATGGGGTAGACCCATAATAACCTCCTTTAAACTTTTAGTATAGATACCTGGTCCCAGCACCAGCTGTTTTTCTCGCGACGCCACTCCTGTCAGGTCACGCTGCTTGGTGATGCAACATAGTCTATCTGGACCAAAAGCAGCATTGTCTTGCAGTCTCCTAGAGACTTCGGACCCATCGTATGACTTGGGCTTTCGTTACCTGATTGTAAAAGATGTCCTGACCAAAGAGAGGAATCTCAATCCAACCGCCACCTCCCCTAGTCACAGTTCAGTTCTGAAAACCACCTGGGCTGTAACGCTTAAATCCTGATATCCTCACATTCATTTCTTGTCTTCTTTTTCTTCCCTAGTTGTATATCTTCACTTCTCGATGTTAGCTTTCAGTTTAAAAAGAGCCTGTCTTAGCTGACCTTTTAGCAGCGCTGCAGCGAGCCTATGTCCAAAAAGGCAGCTAAAATCAATGTCTAAAACAGCACAGTGTTGGTACATTTGCCAAGTCTCGCAGTGGCTGATAAAACTGTGCTAAGCCTGTTTTTCTCTAGCGGTCAGGATGCCAGCAACAATCGGGATCAAAAACAAAAGCTGCATTTTCAATCACTGCTGTTCTTTTCCTTTCTGTTTTATCTGTGTTTGTCTTGTTTTTTCTTCATGGAAAGAAGGCCAGACTCCAGTAAGGAGATTCATTAACAGCCACATATCCAGCACCTCTCAGCTGGTCTTTTCTTTTATTCCCGTACAGACGTTGCCGTCTTCAATCCAGGTTTCTGAATTGACATCATATGTTGGGTAGAAGCCTTGTCCAACTGCCCATTCATGCTCTTTTGTGGCAGCTGCAGCTCATTCATTCAGAGGGCAGCCTCCATCCAGCATTAAAATCCTGGAAGTCTTAGCTGCAACAGAATATACTGCATCTCATGCAGAGTGGAAGAGTGCCTGTGGCGCTGTGCTGGAGTAGAAGATACACTCCCTCTTAGGGCCGTGTGCTCAAAGGACTCGGTGCGTTTTGAAATTGAATCCATCCCAGGTTCCTCATCACACAACTCGTGCTCTATTAAAAAGAGAAATGAAGAAATGCCTCACAGTTACAAAGAAAGGGTGGATACAGTAGAAAACTCATGCTCGGAATTTTTTTTCAAATATTTTAGCTGGCTTCACATTTTTCATGTGGTATCAGAAAAACCTACAGTATTTTTAATGACAGTTGTTGCTGTGGTACTTAGAATGAAGAATCAGTACTCAAACTCTCAGTTTTGTTTGAAGTTGTATGGTAATAGGTTTGCTTCAGTATCTTTGACCCACATCCCAGATAGAGGCTAATCCTAGCATGTTTGGTCGGTGAGAATTAAGCATCTAAATGTCATTGAGGGTCTCAACTTGCGGCCCTGAATGTGGAATTCTGTTAGGCTAGTTTTGTGGAAGTATTTTTGAGAGTGCCACCATTCAATTACATATAAAATCGATCAATGTAAGGAATTAGCTAAATTTACAATAGTTACAGTAGTAAAAACTCATTTGACTGGAAAGGTGATGAGAGGAGTGAAGTTATTACTCTCAGGCAAAAATCTAATTTGAGCAAATACGGGATGATAAGATGAATACTGTTTTTCCTCTAACAAAGACATTGGCCAAAGAAGGTAGATACTCCTGTCAGTATATCAGGCATCTCTGTATCACTGGGTTTGTACATAAACAAAATATACCAAATGCTGAAAATCCACCAGATGGCACACTAAAGCCTTGATAGTAAAAAATGCCGTCATCCAAGAGGAGGATAGTAACTGCAGGGAAGGCTGCAAATTTATTCTGTATTACAATATGCAGACTGTGCCTTGTTTTGTCAGCGATTACTAGGTCAATCTTTAATAGCTAAGAAACGACTTAGAGAAACATTAAGGGAAAGAAATGGGATAAGACAGCAATTATGTTAATTTTCTTTAGCTAATAATTTGTCTTGATTTGTAGTGACATTTATGGTGGCTGGGGTGGACATGTCCTAACAGT